GGAGCCAAAGAAAGCCAGGGCGCGCGACCCTGTGGATACAACAATATAAGGCACACGTCTCGTCGAAGCCACGGCTCGGAGGAGGGGGACAGGGCGAGGGAGAAGTGGGAGAAGTATGAGCAGCAGGAGCGGGAGCGGGAGCGGGAGTGCGAATACGAGGACCACAGCGACGACAAGCAGGACGATGAGAACGAGGAAGATGAGGATGATTGTCGCTAGTCCCTCTCCCGGTGAGGGGACAACACCTCGAGTGGCTGCGCACAGAAAGTCATGCCAGGGCTCAGGGCCTCCGAGTAAGGTCCCTTCCCATTCTGAACTTACGACCCCCTCGATATGACACAGCACTCATGCACGCACACCAAGTCTGGACTACTTCGGAGCATTCAATCAGCCATGCCTTTGGGTCTGCCACAACGGCCGTCATCCGAGGGCTGACCGGCAAGTTGTTCACATTAGCGGTGCTGCGGGCGCTGAAGGTCTTTGAGCCAGCGGGCTATGGAAGAAGTGATGATGTTACGTACATGCGCCAGCTGGTGGATTCTGCTGCTCAACTTCAAACTTGTCTTCCTCCTCCTCCTCCTCCCCCTCCACGTTCTCCAACTCCTCCGCCTCCTGCTCCTCCTCCTCCCCTCGTCTTCCTTCTCCTCCTCCTCCTCCTTCCTGCTCCTCCTTGGCATCGCAAGTATTATCCTCGCCCTCCGCACAATTTCTCTCCAGGAAGAAGAGGGGAAGGCAAGAGGCAAGGGGATGCGTCTGGGAAAATTATCCGGGCGAAGGACCCAACCATATGCAATTGTGGGTACCGCAATTGTGAATAGCTTCTTCGGTGAAGCTCCCTATGGGGCCAAAAAGCGCTGCACTGGATGGGAGGGAACGCATGCGGGCGGTAGCGCTGGCGCCGTCGGTGGAGCCCCTGATGGGGCCACGAAACGCTGTACTGGGTGGGTGAAAGCGCCAACGTGAATGTGTGGGACACGCGCGGGCGGTCCCACCGGGGGCTTCGGTGGAGCTCCCTATGGGGCCACGAAGCATTGTACTGGGTGGATGAAAATGCCAAATTGGGTGTTCGGGACGCATGCGGACGGTCCCACTGGAGCCTTCGGTAGCGCTCCCTATGGGGCCACGAAGCGCTGTTTTGGGTGGGTGGGAATGCCAAATTTGGTTTTCGGGACGCATGCGGACGGTCCCACTTGGGGCTTCGGTGGAGTTGCTGATGGGGCCACGAAGCTCTGTATTGGGTGGGTGAAAATGCCAACTTAAGTGTGTGGGACGCATGCGGGCGGTCCCACTGGAGGCTTCGGCGGAGCTCCCTATGGGGCCACGAAGCGCTGTACTGGGTGGGTGAAAATGCCAAATTGGGTTTTCGGTGCGCATGCGGACGGTGGCACTGGGGCCTTCGGTGGAGCGCCCGATGGGGCCACAGAGCGCTGTATTGGGTGGGTGGGAATGCCAAATTGAGTTTTCGGTGCGCATGCGGACGGTGGCACTGTGGCCTTCGGTGGAGCTCCCGATCGGGCCAAGAAGCGCTGCACTGTGCGGGGGGGGCACATGCGGACGGTAGCACTGGGACCTTCGGTGGGGCTCCCTATGGGGCCACGAAGCGCTGTATTGGGCGGGGGGGACGCATGCGAGCGGTAGCACTGGGACCTTCGGTGGGGCTCCCTATGGGGCCACTAACCGCAGCCTGGCCGACTGGATGCGTGGGCATTCCCGACTTCTGAACATGTATGATCCGATCGCATGTCCAATACGGACGGAATGGTGAACATTGCACTCTAGACCAAGTAGCCTTGCAGCGCCTCGACTCGACACGCATTACACAATCACTATCGCCGCCCTATACCTCTCAGGCCCAATTTGGCTGACGTGGCTCGATATTTTGATTGGTGAGGGAACAACAAGGCTTGACTCAAACTGACTTGAGCCAAGTTGGCTTGAGCCTAGATCGGAATTGAAAGAGTTGAGGGCGGATTGAGCGCGATTGAAAAGCATGAGGCAGGACCACCCCAGACTTGGACGGCTGTCAACCGAGGGCATACCAGCGCCGATGCTGCATCGAACCTCCCTGGAATTGCAACCACGGGCATCTGGAGGCGGGGGCGGCAGGCTCGAGCCGTGGCAACGTCGGCGTTGGGTTGTGACACCGCGCAGGTCGCTCAGCCTTGAGCGATCTCGGCTCTCTCATCTGAAGGGGCCCCAGGACACACAAATAAATACACAAATAAAACTATTCCCCATATTTTCCCATATTTTCTGGGTATCTGTCTTCCCGCCCACTTCCCATATTTTCCCATATTTTCTGGGGGATCGACGATTAATTGTGTCTGTGTGTTTTTTCCCTCCTGATCATAGCAGATCGTCCGACATCCGCTGGCCCTGGGCCACTGGCAGTGTTCAATGCTTTCACGGCCGCGCCGGGGCCGCCGCGGCGCGAAACTGCCGTACGGCAGGGTCGCGTCGTGCCGACTTCGACGTTGGTTTCTGACACCGCGGGGATCTTTCAACCTTGAACGATCGGCATTTTCCGAAGCGTCAGATCGTTCAACATCGACCGATTCTGTCGACGGCGGCGTTCAACGTTGAACGCCTGCGGCGGGGTCGCCGCTGGTCGACACGGCTCGATCCTGCCGTAAGAGCTTTGTCAGCACTGATTGCAACCAAGATGACCCCCAGGAGGCCTCAAGACGCCCCGAAGAAGCCCCCAAGAGGCCTTCAAGCGCCCCCATAACAGGCCTCTGGTCCACGACCCTAATCGAGGCGCGGTGGTGGGGCCGAAGACCACTCGACGAGAACTTTGTCAGCGCTGCTCGGGCAGCGTTGTCATACGCACACCTGCCTCTCCCTCTCTCGTGTTTCTCTGCGGCCTCTTTCCTGCCTCTGCTCCGCCGCAGACAGGGGGGGGGGGGCCCTCGCCGACAGGCCACCTGCGTGAGCCCCGTGGGCGCCCCTGAGACCCGACGTAGCGAAAACTGCAACATCGCGAGAAATCACGGCTGGAGCCCTGGGACCTCAACTTGAAACGCCATTCTTCGAGCTCGATGTCAACCAGTGACGGCCCCAGGGCTGCAAAGCCCTGGCGAAGACGCCCGGCCCGCAGGTCCGCGGGGGACGGCTGAACCTAAACGGTGTTTCTCGTGTTCGTTCTGTTCTCGCGTTCCCTCGTTGTGTCTTCCATCCGCCTCTCAAACGCAAAACGAGGTCGAAACGAAAACGGCCCACGAAGTCGCCAAAACACCGTCTAGGTCCAGCCCTGGTTGAAGGGGCCCTGGGGCACACACAAATAAACACACACAAAGAACCGGACTCCCCATATTTTCCTCTATAGTTTCTGGGTTCTTGTCTTCCCCCCCACTTCCCCTACTTCCCCATACTTTCTGGGGAACCGACGATTACTTGTGTCTGTGTGTTTCTTTCCCTCCAGCCCTGGCCTGCGGGGGAGAGGGCAGGGCCACGGCGTGCACCCCACAGGACGCAGCCCGCTGCGCCTATGCATGCCTCGTGGCCTCCCCCTCCGCCCCGCGGGGGCTCCGGCGCGCTCGCCCTCGCGGGGGGGTGCAGCGCTTCCCCCGGGGGGGGGCTCCGGCGCGCTCACCCTCGCGGGGGGTGCAGCGCTCCCCCGGGGGGGGCTCCGGCGCGCTCACCCTCGCGGGGGGTGCAGCGCTTCCCCGGGGGGGCTCCTGGTCCTCGCCCTTGTCGCCGTCCGCGCCTGCGGAGCGGGGCGGGCGTGCGGACGCCGCGCGGTGTGGCGTCTGCACGGCGCGCGGGACGTGCTTCTGGGAGGCGGTCTCGGGTGCAGGGCCGTCGCCTTCGCCTCGCGACGCAGCGAGCCGAGGAACTCTTTGCCCTGTCGTCCCCCCGCCCAGCCCCGACACGCATCTCTGCCACCGGCCTTCCGGACCGAGGCCGACCCTGGTCCTTAGGTTCTGGGTACTCTGACGAAGTACGAAGTGGCTCACGGGGAAAGAAAACTGAATCACCAAGCGGCTCACGAAGCCGCCTCGGGGGCGACGACAGTGGGCGATTAGCCGAGGGGCGGGCGTGAAACGCATTCGCCCGGGATCCTCACCGACGGCATGTGTCATCGGCGCCCCTGGATACATGTGTTGAGCAGGGACCGACCGTCCCGGCATTCCTATACTCATACCACGACATGTTCTTAGAACCCCAAAATGTTCTAATAACAAAAACAATGTTCTTAGAACTCATTCCCCGATGTGATAAAACAGGACAGTCCCAGCCAGAAATGTTCTAAGAATATTTCCTGGAAACCACAACAGGTTCCTAGAACATTGTTTGGTAGGGCTATAGGCGAGCCAGGACGCTTCGCCACTGCTTGAATGTATTGCCCCCCCCCCTGGGCTATTCGCTCCTCTCGTCGTCTCCGGTCGCCCCGCCCGGCGGCAGCTCAGGCGCCCTCGCCCCGCACGCGCGCCGGACCCACCGCGCAAAGGGAGCCAGCGCGCCCCTCATGCCCCGCCGCCCGCCGAGGACAGGCTCGTCTGCCTACCCCCCGCGCAGCCCCCGCGGCGCCTGCGGAGCAGCACGAAGAAGGCAACATCTGAAGGGGCCCAAGGACACAAATAAATACACACAAGTAACAGGAATCCCTATGTATTTCTATATTTTTTGTTTGAAATTCGTCTTCCCCCCCCCTTCCCATATTTTCCAATATTCTCCTGGGAATCGACGATGAATTGTGTCTGTGTGTTCTTTCCCCTCCTGAACGTCGTCGGGTCGACATCATGCGGCATCGCATGCTCCTGAACACACATGTGCTGAAATTGCTGAACCGACAACTGTTTTCCCAAGTGTTCAGCGCGTGCTCGGGGACACCCGCGCGGGTGACCCACCTGGAATGGATTTGCAAAGATGGCGGGCGATCGATGGTTCCTGAACGTGCTCCTCATGCGCGCGTGAGTGGCCCGCATGGTCCCGCCTGGCTGACTTCAGCGAGCGCGCGCCCGCATATTTCTCACCACGAAAACAATTCCACGAGCATGGTGTTAGCTCGCGCGCGAGCCGCTCGCATCATGAACAGAGTGAGAAGAGATCGCGATGCAGAGAGGGGGGAAGGTGGAGGAGGACAGAAGAGCGAGAGAATAACGGATCGAAGTATTAAACCACTGCGAATGCCCCCCTCCTATGATACGAACGATCATTCATATAAGCGGGCCTCACACAATAGCAGACAAGGAGCGCAACGCAGCAAAGTAACACAAGGTGGGGACAAACCCCAAAGGTATTGCCATATCCAGTTCAAGAACAAATTGTGCGTTCACGGGCTTTGAATAGCTACGTCTTGAAATTCTGACGCGCAAATTGTTACTTCATCGCAGACACCAGTCTGTTGCGGCACTGGCCCTGTTGCTCGCGCGCGTGACGTTCGCAATGCGAGCCAAAGAACAAAAGACCGCGAAACAGATTTGCAACCCCAATCGGGAGGGAAGCATGCCGATGCTGCGCAATGCAGCCCTGCACCGCCTAGACCGAAATAGCGACCCCTAAGCACTGTCGCATGCGCGCGCGGCCACGGCAG